CATTTATTAACTTTCCCTACATGTCAGCAAGGCATGGTAAACGCAAAGCTTCAATTTTCTTCTTACTCTGTGTCATTTCCATTGATGAGGGCTTAGGCACGAAAATCAGGTACGAAAGCTCGACAGTCTGTTGCTTAGTGTAAGTTTCCTTTTCGTGAAAAACGAATGCAAACATCTGCCCCGGTCGTTCTACCTGAGGCTGTGATGAGAGTTTCTTTCCCTGCATGCACTTACTTAATTACCTGCCTTGTTTTTCTGTTAACAGTCAGTTTTAGGTGCAAAAGAAGCCCTTTGGTCCTTTCAGAACTGTACCTCCCAGCGTTTCGCTTGTAGACAGAGCTCGTTGTCTTTCTTAGCTCTCGCTATAAGGGTAAGGGGTTTCCTTTTAGCCTTCATCCTCTATCAAAATTACAAACTCTCATGAGTGAGTAATAAGGCACGATCACACAAGGTTTCAGTATATATTAACCATTTGGCCAAAAGCCTGCGCATTGGTCACTTATCATGTGACTCATCGAACAAGGTTCCTTTCTCTAATCTCACTCACGACACCCTACTCTGGCATAGTTTAAAATTTATTATTTTATTTAACGAACATTTTAAAACTTTCAAAAGGTCTACTTTCAGAGTAACTACTGAATGACTCACATATGTGACTCTTGCTTGCAATGTAGCACTGATGTAAGTTGCATGACGTGATACGTGTGCGTGCTGGAAATCATGTTTTATCTAATGACTCATTTTAGAATACTGACAACCTTGAATTTTGAATTCGTTGATAATGTGCATACGTATAGACCATGACTTCATAATAACTAACAAAAGAAATTTTTTTTACCCTGTTGCTCTATACTTAACCAAAACGTAGTAACTAGAGCTAATCGCTAAACATTAAAATTAATTAACAGATAGAACTAAAACTAAAATCGACTGTTTACTTATACTCTGTCTGACGGTTGGATGTTAAACCTGATAATTTGTGTCATGTACTAAGCAAAACTTCTTAATTTTGTACATGACAGCAGATGCATGAACAAGTTATTCACTAGTAAACGATGCCTGACATTGTTGGCAGATTAGAATGAAGTATTCGGTCAACTGAATGAGCAGTAAACAAACCAATGCATGGACAAATCAGTCGGTATTGTCCCCTGCTTGGAGGTTTATTGGCGCGGTGATTAAAACTTTAACATTCGTAGCCTTTATCACTTTGGGGGTGGGGTGTAGACGGGGGACGGAAGAACAGTAAATTGTCCCTCCTTTGGAGATTTCATGTCGGAACATGGTTCTCGTAATCCTTTCCGATTTGTCTTATAGAAATGCGGATGATTGCCTGTCCTATTTTACGTGGTTTCGTTTGTCCGTCGTGTCCTTTTTCATATTCTTCATATTCTACCACCGCACTTTCGCATTCTGGACATCACCAATTCGACAACACTTGAACGTGCTGGTGGAATTTTAAGGAACATGCCAATTAGAAGAGACGTCCACAGGAGTTAGCGACTCATTGCTTTAATGCAGAGACAGAAAGCACATAGAAAACTGGTAGTAAATCGGTTATTCTGCTCAGCAGGAAATATCCTACAGCGAAGTGGTGAAAGTCCTTTTGGGCCATCCCTTTGCCTGCTTTTTGGCGAGCGACAAAGCGACCCAATCGGATGACCATGTGACGAGGAAGAAATTTCGACTTCCTGGTAAACATATTCGCAGACACTGGTCTGCGAACGGCAATCGCGATCTGATTAAGAATAAGCACAATTGGATATCTTATTTGGTCGTATGACCAGCAAGCGATTACCAGCGCATGGATACAAATGTTCCCCTTTATCAGCCAGCCGAGTTCTTCCACGATGGTACGTTTCATATCACAATTACCCTGCCGTCCAAACTCGGAAGGGACAGAAATGGGAGTCAAGTGAAGAGGACTGGAATACCAGCAGAAATATACTTCTATGTGCAAATGTGCTTCAAAATGTCAATCAGTATATATCGACTGGTATGGACCGAAATTAATTTACATGGACTAGTTTATTGTGCTGTGAACTGAAATTGATTCTAGGTTCAGTCCAGGCCGGTAACAGGTGAGTTTCACGCACTATCGTTAAGCCTATCACCATGCCTAAGCCTCTACACGGTCTGGTACGGGTTCCGTTTTATACCACGCCTTAGACCTAGGCTAAGGCATAGGCTGTGTTTGACAAGGACCTCAGACCATTGGTCTGGAGGGAACACGAATTTGTTTCAGTCTGATTTGGACTGGTTCGTACTTGTATGGACGGATTACAAATCCGGGCCGTAGTGTACATAAACATTTATTGAGCTTTCGATGAACCTCGCAGCGTTGATCCATTTCTAACTTTTCGCGGTGGACATTCAGAAATAATATATTTTATGACCGTAGTTATTTATTGCTCTTATTTGGACGTGAACATCGCCCAACTGTATTAAACAGGAAAGAGCATTGTTTGATCCCAGAGCGAACCATCTCAGCGAACGTTAGTGACACGGCGAATCAATATTGCCGAGAATGCCTCTGTCGTTCAGTCATGTAATAAAGTATTCAAATTTGTTTCGGCCCACTGTAACTACTAGACTAGGAGTCTCTTCTTAACATGAGATAATCGAATACACTTGATGAATACGAATGACGAGTTTTTGTAGGCGGTAGCACTTGCAGGTTATACCTCCGATAAAGAACGGAGGTCTGATGAGGACATAGCATGTTCGTTCAGTCATGGTCGTTCACAATCATGAATTACTTGTCCGTCTTATGTCACGTAACATCTGACATAGCGTCGCTTATTTACGTTGCTTACAAGAATGGTCTTGGCTCGGACACGGTGACGTAATGGTTGGTCGTCGTCCCCTCAGTAATCTGCGAGTAGGCGTGGTGGTGATGGTTGAACACAGGAAGGCGTGCGGTTCTTTCAACTTCATTA